TTGAATGGTATTTCTATTTTTAGCTCTTTGAGGAATCTCCAAATTCTTTTCCACAGAGGTTGCACTAATTTTCAGTCTACCAGCAGTGTAAGAGTGTTCCTGTCTCTCTGCATCCTCGCCAGCATTTGTTGTTTTGGGATTTTCTGATAGAGGCCAATCTCACTGGGATTAGGTGATATCTCATTGTGGTTTTGATTTGCATTTCTCTAATGATTAGAAATGTTGAGCATTTTTTTATGTTTGCTGAAGCTGTTGCATCTTCTGGAGCAATTTTACTTGGTGGCTTGGGGAAATACTTTTGATTTTCTTTTTTTTTTTTTGAGATGGGGTCTTGCTGTGTTGCCCAGGCTAGAGTGAAGTGGCATCATCATAGCTCACTGCAACCTCCTACGCTTGGGCTCAAGGGATTCTCCTGCCTCAGCCTCCCAAGTAGCTGGGACTACAGGCATGTGCCACCACGCTCAGCTAATTTTTTGAAAATTTTTTGTAGAGACAGGGTCTTGCTATGTTGTTCAGGCTGGTCTCGAACTCCTGGCCTCAAGCGATCCTCCTGCCTTGGCCTCCCAAACTGCTAGGATTACAGGCATAAACCACTGTGCTTGGTCAGGCCCACTTTTTGATATTAAAAACAAACACGGATGTTACTGAATAGAATGCAAACTTTGCATTCATTTTAAAGACAAGTCGTGAGTCCAAAATTTTCATATTTGTAGCAGTAATTCCCAACCCTACTCCTTGAGAGTACTTAACTTTATGGTAGTATTAGGGTACACTGGAAGGGAGGCTGAGATATACTGTTATATTGTGTTACAAGATTACCTTCCGATTCTATACAAGGACTCAAAAAGAGGCCAGTGTATCAAGGGAACAGCTTGTGATTTTTAACCATTCAAGAAGCACAACTAGAGAGGTCATGTGGTCTTGAAGATAAAATGAGTATGAAGTGAATACTACCAATTTATTAATACTAAAGTTTCCAATGTACTTTTGAATGACTTTATTCACTTTCCCACATTTACTGATAGAGAGAGATGTAAAAACACAGAAACACTGCTGGTAGGGAGCATTTCACCAAACATTTCCATTTCCCCATATGTATGAAATATACATGAATTCCAAAAACAACTTTTTAAAAAGCACGCATTCATGACTTACCTTTCCAAATGATCCCTGCCCTAATACTTTTAAAAGTTCAAATTGGGAAGGATCTGCCTTTTCATGTCCTTCCTTTACATGATGTGTGATTGCAATTTCTTTGATACTGCCTTCTTCCTGTTGAGGTAAATATAAGGGGAGAAAACAGAGTTAGAGCCACTTTCTCCCACTAAAAAACAAGCAATATTAATTTAGTGTAAATCAGAAATCTTCAAATTAATATACAAAAACCACCCTTTACTGACCCACCGAGTAAAAAGGAAACACATGCCACGCAAATATACTTTCAAGTTAAATGTCAGAGACAGTACTATAACAGCCCATTACACAGGCTGATTTAACTTTTACATGACATTAGCACTAAGTATTTCCAAGTCTTCTTTCTCCCTGTTGGAGACAATTAGAATAAACAGTTTTATTGTAGGGGGCAGAGGGTATAAAGAAGTCTGAAAATAACAGATCAGAGTAGTCTGCTGTGCTCTGGCCTGTGGTTATACTAGGCAGAACCAGTGCTATATTAAAAAAAAAGTTGATTGGGGAGAGGGATTGAAAAATATTCCAGGGTAAATATGGAAATTTCTATCCTCAATATGGTTGTTTAAAGTAAGTATACTGATGTTTTATCTGTTTGAAATATCTAAGAGTTACTTTCTGATTTTCGAATAGCCTGGGATCTGAGAGGGGAGAAAGGAATAACTCTAAAACACAAAATCAGAAAAGATTTAAAATTTAGATGGAGAATTAGGTATGAAAAAAATGACTTCGGCATGATGGAATAGTGAAAGGTCTTTGGGTTAAGAGAAGGGTTTTTGTTGTTGTTGTTGTTGTTTTGAGGCAGGGTCTCACTCTGCAGTCCAGGCAGGAGTGCAGTGGTGCCATCATAGCTCACTGTAGTCTCGAACTCCTGGGCTCAAGTGATCCTCCCACCTCAGCCTCCCAAGTATCTGGGATCACAGGCATGTGTCATCATGCCTGGCTACTTTTAAACATTTTTTGTAGAGCTGGGGTCTTGTTTTGTTGCACAGGCTGGTCTCAAACTCCCCAGCCTCAAGTGATTCTCCCCCACCTCAGTCCCCCAAAGTGCTGGGATTACAGGCGTAAGCCACTGTGCCAGACCAAGAGAAGGATTTTTTTAAAGATGGTGGACACTTCTGTATATTTGAGGGGAGGTGCTAGAACAAAGAGAAAATACATGTAAATGTACACAGGATTTCAATTATTTATGTTAAGATCGGCAGATTAAGCACACCTTATTTAATCAAGACTCATACTGCAATAGCCGAAAACTATAAGGATGAAATAAAAGCTAACAAAATCAGAAATATAAGCCTTTCAAATACAGACTACCATTTCTAGTATATTTTGTTGACTATGTTATTTTTTTTCTAGGAGCATAAGTACTATTAGTAGAATCTCAATGTGTTATATAAACATAAATAATTATTTTTATTACTATGGTATTTCACACAAATGTTTGAGCTCAATTAACACTTTCTGAGATACCTTTAGAATGCTGGCAACATAAGGAATTTCACAAAAATTTCTCAAAAAAGATATATGAAGATATCCTAATGTGGTATCTTTTGAAAATGAGTAGTAAAAGGGGGGGAGGGGGACCCAAAAACTAAAAAATAAAAAACAAAAGCTCCCAGAAGAAGATAAGAAGGAATCCAGGCCCATCATTTTACTTTCTAAGACAGAGGCTGTAGTTTGTCTACTCAGGCAGGTGAATCATTTTGGATTCTCTCTGAACTTTGGCAACAAGAATAGAAAATCTCCTTATATTGGTTTAGTCCTTTGTTTTGTAATTTCACTTGCATTATCTCCTTTAATTCTCACGACAATCCTGTGCAGCAGGTATTAGGGTAGAACCAAGCATTAACTGATTCTAAGATGCTACCTCCTTCCTCCAAATAAAACCAAGGTACAAGGGCTTCGGACACCCTTCTCTCCATATGAGACCAAGGGTTCAGTTGATTAGAGCAGTGGACTTTGAACTTGGTAGCACATCCTTAGCAGTGTAAAAAAATTAGCATATACCCAATATTTGTATACTTATTGATTTATAAATTACATACATGTAAAGAAGTTATCCTCTTTCTTTTCTATACCCCAAAGTGCTGTCACCTTGCACTCTGAAGACTAATGGATTACAGACTTAAACTCATGGGGCCAAGTTCATGGGCTGGATTCCAGCATGTATCAGTTAGCGTCATATGGAAGAAAACTGTTCAAGAGCCTAACTGGAATCTAGCAGCCAGGTATGTCCTTAAATCATGAGGCCATGAAGAATTATACTTCGCAATGTTTTATAGAATTTTCCACTTTTCTTTATTGGGTAAGTGGGATGTGACTTATCAAGTTACAATATTTTTTTCACCTTGTATTTCACAGCAAATACCTACAACAATTGCCTGACACAAGTAAAGATGCACCACGGGCATGGAAGAACAATCACTGAATTATAAACATGTTGCATTTTACAAAATGCAGGCATACAGGATCAAGCCTTACTCTTAGACAGTGTGAGCTACAATCAGGCCATGGATCACAAAATAAATAACACTTACTATTCTCATAATTCATTCATTCACTCATTTATTTATTTATTTCAGGATATTATGGGGATATAAACATTTTGGTTACATGTTTTGATTTTGCCACACCCAAACCATGATTTGAGGTGTGGCTTTTCCCCCTACAATGCTCTTATATTTTCCTGGATAGAAATTGAGCCCATCCTCCAAAGTGAGGTATCACAAGAATGGAAGAAGAGGTTCCACATGTACTTGCCATCAAATTGGCACTAAGTGATCAACACTATGGTGCTCACATGGTAGTAATATTCTTCAGGGATTGGGGGGTTGGGGGTGGGTAAACTCACAACTATTCTCATCTTTGATGACTATCCTTCCTTTACTCCCATGTCAGTAAGTTACTAAAAAATGTAGAGTCTCTCTTTGAACCCTTCATTTAACAAACATATACTGAAACACCTACTATGTATCAAGAATGGTGTTGGGAATACCTTTCATTCTTTTTTTCCAATTTATTTATTTCTTTTCTCTTTTTTAATTTCAGAATATTATGGGGGTACTATTTCCAATGGTATCAGCTGGGTACAAGCCTTCATCAGCTTTCATGTAGAAAACTGAAACTAGCCTGTGTCTACTCCAGTACATCTTCTTGAAAAATTCATTTTCTGAAAGTATACAGCTCCAGTTACATGACCAGGCTGTTCAAAAACTCCTCCGAGTTTCCCCAAATTAAAGGCACTGCTTTACCTCAGCATTCAAGGCCCTCCACAAAATGGCCTTAACCTATCTTTCTGGTATTATCTCCCAACATTCCCTTAACCATAGCCTTGTGTCAGCCTGGGTTGTTTTCTGTTCCCTAAACTTTTTGTTTTTAAAATCAAAGTAATACATGCACATTGGTAACAAATAAACAGTGGCAGAATAGCTTATGATTAAAATAAAGTCTCTTCTTAATCCATGCCTAGACTTAAAAAAAAAATAGCTCTGCATTTACTTTCATACAATGTGTACTGACTTAAAAATAAGAAAGATGAGGAGCTCACTTACATTATGCCCTTCCCTTCCATCATCTTCCTCCCCACTGTTTGGTAATTATATTACTTTTATATAAACCTCATCTTCTCTGTTTTGGACAGAATCCTAAGTTCTCACTTTATAAAAGGAGGCTAATAGTGTCTATACATTCTTTCTCTCAAATTTCCCCCCACCTGTTACTAACTGTATTTTAAAATTTTTATTAAGGCTATTAATATTAAGAAAATTAACATTCTCTCCTGCAACCACAACCAAATCCTAATGCTCTCTCCATAGCCTGATTCCAAAGTTGAAAGCCTATACAATAACATCCACATTATCATGGCAATATATTGTTCAAATGCAGGCTAGGTAGTATATTAAATTTCATTTTATATGAGTTCATAACAATGACTCCTAGGCCAATCCAAAGGGACTTAAAAAAACAACAACCATATTTCATCCAATGCTTAGATTCATGATAAATTCTACTTTTTTTTTTCTTTTTATGAGACAGGGTCCTGCTTTCTTGCACCACCTAGAGTGCAGTGGTGTCATCATAGCATACCACAACCTGAAACTCCTGGGCTCAAGGAAACCTCCTGCCTTAGCCTCCCAAGTAGCTGGGAATATAGGCGCATCCAGCCCCGCCCAGCTAATTTTTCTATTTTTAGTAAAGATGGGGTCTCATACTTGCTCAGGCTGTTCTCAAACTCCTGACCTAAAGCAATCCTCCTGCCTCGGCCTCCCAAAGTGCTAGGATTACAGGCATGAGCCATTGTGCCCAGCCGATAAATTCTAGTTTGAGTCCTATTTGGACCATGAATTTCTTATGCGGTTTTTTATTTTTCTTGTTTCTAACAGTCCCCTGCCCCCATTCTTCGGAAAGGAAGATTTGGCCATTATTCTTATTCTCTGCTTAGCCCTTAACCATACTTTTCATTCTTCTGAGAGCTCCTTTCTATCCTAGAAACCTTTCTTACCCTCCCATCAAGATTGGTGATTCTCTAGGCCTGCTGCACAGCTATCATCTTGGAATAGCTCTTAAGTACTTTTCTGGTTGAAATCACTATTTTCAGTTTCCTATGTCTCTCTCTTTCTTAGATTACCCCCTTGTAACTTCCTAAGAAAGGTGACGTGGAAGAAAACTTTCTGAACCTTGCACATCTGTAAATGTCTTTATTTTATCTTCACATTTGTATAGCTTGGCTTGGTATCAAATTCTAGAATAAAAATAATCTTGCCTCAGAACTTCGACGCCGTTGGTCCATTACCTTCTAGCATCTGGTGCTGCCAATGAGATGGGTGATGCTAGCCTGGTCACACTTTTTGGTAGGTGACCTGATTTGTCTTTCTGGAAGCTTTACGGATTTTTCTCTGTCCTTGTATTTCTGAAATTCCACACTAGTGAGATAAATATGGGTCTTCTTTCCTTCAGAATGCTAGATGTTTGGTGAACCTTTATAATCTAAAGACCTGAATTCTTTTTTCTATGGGGAATTCTAACATTTCTCTAATAATTTCCTTCTATCAGTTTTTCAGGGCTTCTCTTTTTGCAACTCCTCT